ATCGTGTTTTCTGGGAATTTCAAATTCACTGCCCACATGTATTTTTGGAGAAACGTTTTTTAATATTCGCTATTAAGTGATCGCGCGTGAATACGATTCGTGAATATTACTTGTAACAGAGGCGAATATGTCCGGTCGACTCGAACATTTTTATCGATATCGTGTTATATCGATTGTGGATCCGTGGATCGATCGATTCAATCATCGTCGGATGATACGAGGCGAGAGATTGAAAAATGATGATGTCATGGGGTGACTGGTTATTGGTAACACGAATTATTTGATTGCCGATCAAATGATTATATTACAACGCGCATACAGTGATTCGATAATAACTCGTGGTCGATGGTAGATGATGGGAAGAAGAATACCATCAATCCTAGATAGATTCGAGCGAGGATTAAAAATCATTTATGATAATTATATTTTTTTTTTTTTTTTCTAAAAATTCTCTTCTTCTCGAGTCACTTTATAACAAGATAAAAAAGGGGTTGATGCACGACTGATAATCATCATCGACGAGATATTTTTGTAAACGAAATTCGCATTGTCGAAATATCGACTTAAAGAGAGGGGAAAAAAAAAAAAAAAAAAAAAAAGAATTGCCAATCGACTGCCAAACGCAATAGAGAGTATTATAAAGCTATAAGGTTTTTACGATTAATTAAATCCTCATACCGAGGATTGTTTCCTTTCCAGATAGAAATTGTTCCAAATAAGAGATAAGATTTCTTAGATGTAATAATTGTATATAATTGTATATGAGAGAAGGATAAGACATAATAGACGAGTCGGTAAAGGAAAAGATCGACCGGACAAGTTGCAGTTTCCAATCCATCGAATTTCTTTGCTATAATATCTATTGCTGTACTACATGCTGTCGCGAACATTGTATTATCATTATTATAATCATTGATGTTTCTCGTGTAAATGGATAATTGTCACACCCGGGTCGTTCGAGTTTCGTTGTATGGGAAATGCACGCGTTCTTGTTCTCTTCCTTCTCTGAAATTTAAATGAAATTACAGATCAGTTTTTCATTCGGATTTCCATATTTTGGAAATGTGTAAACGCGTAGCTGGATATATATATGTCCACGGTCAGGAGTTAACATCCCGTTTAGTTTATTTAGTTTCGTTCTGTTCCTCCTCTTTCTTTCAAAAAAAAATAATTTCGTGTCTTTCAGATGATTGTGACGCACGTTTTATGTTTTATGTTTTTTCGTGATTTTTTTTTCTTTTTTTTTTAATAAAAAAAGTATTTGGATACTTTTACAGTCGATTGTAACGATATAGATGTACGATGTTTTTACTTGTTTATTTTTCAATCAAATTTCTCGTATTGAGAATAATTTCTTATATTTTTATAAACTAACTTTGTTAAGTTTCGAAAACGCAGGTCTCGTTTTTTCCTTTATAATATTTTTCGTCTTCTCGTTTTAGAGCTTGTTCAAGTTTCACACGAATTTCAAAATTTCACATCAATCCAATATACTATAATTATTGCATTATACTATCCTAAATCATTAACGCGACTCTAAATAGTTTTATGCACACAAAAGATCAATAATAAATTAATGTGATAAATAATTAAATAAATAAAGGGAGATAATTTTTGCAATCTCATTAATATTCAATTTCCATGATAATGTTCCATTGAAACGTGTAATTAAAAGATCGACAGTTTTTAAATTATTTGTACATAATAATAATAATAATAATAATAATAATAACAATAACAATAATAATAATAATAATAAATAATTATCGAATTTATTTAAGAAATGATCCTATATATTTTCTAATCAAATTATTATCGCGTGCGTAATTCCTCCATTAAAGTGACGTTGTAATGCTTGTAAAAAAAAAAAAGAAAAAAGAAAAAAAAAGAACACGTTAACCACGGTTGATCACCAATTAACAAAAATCCCAAGAAATAAATGTCGCTTTCATCGAATCAGATTCACCAGATTCATCGTGAATCGCGTCAAACACCCGCTCGGATTGTCATGTTTACGAGTGTAACGCCATAAATAATGGAAAATTTTCGATCATCGTCTGTGTAAGTGTGTGCTTCTGTATACATATGCCACGATCATATCATAACGTAATTGTAAAAAAAAAAAAAAAAAAGAAAAGAAAAAAAAAGGAAAAAAAGATCTGTATAATATGATCTGAATTACTCTATGTTAAGGCATTCAATGTTCATTGCAGCTTTTCATACGTAAGAAAGGGAATAAAAATTGCGGAATTTAGATTGTCGGATAAATTTTGCCAAATTTTCTCTATCGAATAAATAATTTTGAGAAAACGAATTGGCTAATGGTGGTGAAAGTGTCGTGTGAAAGAATGAAAGATTTCTTTGAATCGAATCTCTTTTCGAAAAAGGGCAAAATTTATTGTGCAAATAATAAGATTATTTTTCTTTTTTTTTTTTTTTTTTTTTTTAGAACAAACACGGTCGAATATCTCGAACTCGAATTATTTCCAAAATGGATTTAA